GTCTCTGGTGACTGAGACTGAGCCGGATCGAACAGACGCAGGTGCAACAAGGGCCCCTCCCGATAATCGACGTTCGCGACCAGTTTCCGGCCCTCGCACAGTACGCGGAAACGCTCCACTGCCTCGGTATAATGCTCGTTCTTCGGGTCGACGAGCTTGATGAAGCTGCGAAGGTACGTACATCAGATCCAAGGTGTACGGTGTTAGTATGGTGGATATCTACACACCTCAGGCGCGCATCGTGTGCTTGCCCGGGGAGCGATCGGAACCGGGAGTCGAGCGGGCGGATGTTCGCGAACTTGACCGTGTCCTGGTTCCCATAATCGATGAACGTCACCTCCGCCTGCTTCTTGACCGGCGATGCGCGGCGCACTTTCGCGCGGTACCATGACCCGTCGGAGAACTTCGCTGACACGAGGTCCCCGCTCCGCGGCACAAAGCCCGACGTCTCCGTCGCGCCCTTATGGTACAGCGAGAAGTCGCGCATGAGCTTTTCCAGCGAGGCAATGCCTGCGTGCGGTGCGCTCAGCATCGTTCATGCGTGAATACGGGCCGCGGTGACTTACCCTCGGTGTTGAGAATCTGGACGGAAAAGCCGAATCCGTTCGTCGTCCTTACATCGCTGATAATGACGTCAAGGTATTCAGGTTTCAGCGGGCCTTGATCCGCTCCCGGAGCTTCCTGTGCCTGTTCCGCACTCTCGTCGTAGTCGCGCCAGATCTACAGAGCGGTTCATGTCCTGCATCACGAGGAGATGGTCAAAAACGTACTCACATTACGTTTTTCCCGCTTAGCTTCGTCCTATGATTCGTAAATTCAAAGTAAGACCAATGCACTGAACGTGAGTGAAGTGAACAGACCTCTACGTCGTACAACTGCCGTGACCACGGGAGTGACTCCGCAGAATATGAATGCACAGTAGCAAGACCCTCCCGGACGAGCGAGACGGCAGCGTTCTCCGTTTTGTTCAGATAGAGGGCTCCAATAAACCCGCCAGACTTGTCAACTTCTTGGACCTCAATCTCAACATCTCGCTGCATGTAATGGCGAGTGGCAAAGTCGGCAGACTCTGGTCCATATGGTTCGCCCTTCTCAGACTGGTTGCGTGCAGTGCGGGGCGCCCGGATGCCTGAGGCTCAGCTGTCAGCAGGACATTGGCAATAACTATTCTGGTGGTAGACCTGCCGCTGAGAACGAGTGTAAGAACCTGGTTGTCCTTCAGAAGGAAGATCCTGCATCGAGAATGTGAAAATTGGGAACGGGTTTTTTCCCAAACCATATGCTCACTTAAAGCGGGATCCAGCGGCGACGTAGTCGACTACACCGGGCATTCTGCCTGCCCGTTTAAAACCATTCAAAAACGGTGCTGCTCGATTGTGCGACTGATCGATAGCGGAAGCGTCAGTTATTCACCTCTCAACTCGCCAAACTTGAGACGAATCTGTTACCTCCGAAATGTTTAGCGGCTGCTTGTATGCAGGAGGTTCCTTCCCTGAATGAATACCCCTCAAGTCATTAGTTGCCCTGCGAATCGATCAGCGGCGGACGCAAAATGATGCACACTATTTTACTTACGCCTGTTCCGCTGCCATTAGCTTGTCGTAATCCGGTGATCTGTCTTCGTCGTCACGCCTGTGACGAACGACGCTGGCGAGGCCCTTTTCGATCAGTTGCTCGGCGATGTTCCTGAAGAGTAATGAACGTCTGCGCGTTCGATGTGACCATGCATAACATCACGTACGAGTTCTGATTGCCATGACGGACGGTCGCGCATTCCCGCTCTTCGTACTCTCCCTCTTTCGGGCGCACGAAATCGATGTGAACCTTCACGTGCTTGCCGATCAAACGCTTACGCAGAAACTCGCGAGCTTCGAAAGCATAGTACGCCTGATTGGGGTCCGACAATCTGATGCCGGCATGAGCTATGGTGGATGTGATGATCATGCACTCGGGACCCTACTTTGGCCCCCTTGTTGAGCTCAGCTGAAGCCTGTGCTCCTTGCCAGTATCTCGATCGACCACGGAGATCTGGTCGGCGCTCCATATACGGGTCACTGTGCCGTCGAACGAGCGCGAGGGGGTATTCACGGCGGTTCCATCCGCCTTGGCCGTGAATGCAGGTGCATTGGCATAGAGGTACATGCGCTTTTCCTTGGCGACCTTCTCTGCGGCTCGTAGCCGTTCCATGGCGCCGTTGATCGCAAGCATGCCAGCGTGCCAGTCAACAATGCGCGCGAGACACGAAGAAACCAGCAGCTCTGCAATATTTCCAGCGCGGTGCATTACTAGAGCGTGGATGTCATATGAGATGGGTAGGCATATGAAATACAACAGCACCCACCTGTGCCGATAAAGATGGTAACGGTAGGAGGCGGCGCATTTGCTCCTGTCTGGAACGGCGTCGCAGTAGAGGTTGGCAAGGACAACAGCTGGACGCGGACAGGACGTTGTAGGAGACGGCACTCAGTGAAGTACTTAGCCTGTCATATGCCACTCTTGGTAAACATAAACCCATGTGCGATCGATGTGGTGTAGAAGCGATGGTCACGTACCTCTTCACCCCACGGTTCGGACTGCTCCCCTGGCTTGCTTGCGACTCGCGCGCAACGTACCCCAGCGAGTGCAATATTAACGAACTGGTGTTCTCCTTCCGGCATGAGGAGTCGGACCCGGAGCGTGGAGCCGTCCTTCACTTGCTCGACAATGGCATCCAGCTGACGTCCCTTCCACTCAGTGATGAAGGCCTGCGAGTCCGTTGGCATCATATAGTTCACTTTCCGTGCCTTTCTAAGCATTAGCACATGTGGAGACAACGAGCAGAGTAGTAATTGAACATACCTTGGGCCCATGCGCATTCCAGATACCCTTATGAGCAGTCTTGGCTTCGTTCTCAAGTTCCCGCTTCTTCGGATCATCCTCAGTGGGGTCCCGTTTGAGATCCTTCAGCTTCGCCCAGCCATTCTTGAGCAATTCCGACGCGACATCCTGTCCTGCAATCTCAGCATTACCGATGTCGCGCGGAACGTCTTCGTTAGGTGGGAGAGAGTGGGTGACTGTAAAAGTAACGGGTTTTCCAACGGCGAAGGCGCGGAGAAACTCGCGCGACTCGAATGCCCATTCCTACGCGAACACAATTCAAAAATAGCTGAGCCTCCTCATCGTCGAGCCAGAGCACCTCTACGCACTTCGTCTTCCCTGTTGGAGCTCCCAATCCTGGGTGCCGCAATGTCTGCCAGATGAAGAACACTACACAGATTCATGACACGTCGAAATCACGTTCGCGAAGAATACGCACCGCTCCTTAGGAAGTTGCCCTTGAGGACCAGGATTGCCACGCAGGACAAGAGTGTCACCAGAGATTACGGCTAGATACTCGACGATGTTCAGGATCACTGAGAGAACAAAAGGCAAGCTGGCAGTCCATACATTTTACGATCTGCATCGTCACGTATGGAGTGCTGTCATTACCGATGCCTTCCAGATACACGATGTATTTCACTCACCGCCTTCATAGCCATGATGCTCAAAAAATATGCAAGAAACTAAGATCGTGCAAGGGCGAACGGATAGATGAGTACAAAGTGCACGAAAGGGTGCTGGCCGGCGCCGGTGACGAGTTGTAGATGGTCGCGTGGGTTCAATTTTTTATTGAATTTACATTGGCTTCACGCCAACTTTTAAATCAGCGCCACGTGGTCTGCACGACCTCGCAATAAGGCAACCGAAATTTAGGGCCGTCGCCGACCTCGACCTCGCCAGCCACCGTTCAAGACCGTTCAGCGATAACAGCGAGCTCGACGTCGACACCGACCTTGGGCGACCATGCCGTTCTACCAGATGCTATGTATCACCGCGCACTACCCCGAGTTTGTGAGTTTCCGCCTTTGTCCAATCTCACCGCTAGTCGCCCACAATGTGTCGTCGCCTGCCGTCTGCCGGGCTCTAACATTGTCCATTCGATGACAGAAACACATCAAAAACCTGGTGACACAGTGCGCAACCCACGTCATGAAGAACGGCGGTGTCGTGCGAGACATCAAGTCGTGGGGAACCCTCTCTCTTCCTCAGCGCATGCGTCGGCATAAGCAATACTTTGAAATCGGAGAGTACGTGCCAATCTCTACCATCTTGCTGCTTTATGTGCCCTTTTGTCATGCACCGCACATGGCTGCTAATGTTCTCTCTTCAGCTACTGGACAATGAAGTTTGATGCATCGCCACGGAGTCTGCGGCAACTGAACACATTGATGAAACTCGACCCGCGAGTTATCCGATGGACGACGTTGAAGTTGGGGGATAAGGTCGAAGATGTCGTGCGTGCTCCATCGAAGACCGTGCACCGGTGAAGGATACATTGGATGCCTGCTATCTGCTTCAAAACATGTAAAGTGGTATCATTCACTGGTATTTGTATCCATATTGTTTTTCTTTGTGCACCGTTCATCTGCGAACGCCATGGAATTACACTGTGCGATTTGGGGCATGCTGAACCTTAACTCGTGCATAGAGTGTGATCAGCTTATCGCGCAGCCAGGTGTTCCAATGCAGATGCGCCCTCCGTCCAAGGCGCCAGTGAGCCTGCCGGTCGATGCCAACCATGCGACGGTCTCCAATAGTACGGTGCAATTCCAAACAAGCGTAGTCAGTACCTGCTTCGTCTACCACGACTGAGCATATGTCCAGACAATGCGAGCCCGTTATCAAGCATTGGAGGGCGTAGAGTCTGATCTGTTCCCATCCAATCCGTGACGTCTAGTGTTGTTTGTTGACATCCGCTGGACATTAGGAAGACTCTGAATGCGAATATCAAGACGTGGACCTGAATAACAAGAAAAAAGACAATATATATATATATGCATCTAGGCCAGCAGCTCGCTGTACGTAATGTTTCTCGTGGCAGTCTCATTCTTCATCATCCGAATCATCGCATGGCTCCGATGCCTGATTCGCGACAGCATAGTGTACAGTTGACCATGACAGAAAACATCCCTCGTGAGGTCAACGCCAATGCGGTCCAGCGTCAAACCCTGACAACTATTGAACGTCGTTGCATATGCGGGCGCCAAGGGGAACTGTTGTCGGACCAACGTGTGGCCCGTGGGGAGTTCGTAACAGAGTTCAATTCGTGGGAGCTGGATGTGTTCCGCTTTAACCATGCTAGTGCCCCCTAGGCCCTGCAGAACACCCACTGTGACGTGATCCCCTGCCATTGACCGGACAATGACGCGCGCATTGTGAACGAGTCCTTGGGCGGGCGCATAGTTGCACAGGACGCGGTATACTGCATTTACCTTGACGGTGAGCGCTGCAGGCAGTAGGCCTAATGGTGGATATCTCTTTGCATAGTCGAATACAGATTTCTGGGATATCGCATTGTCCAGTTTCGTCATGTTACGTCCAGTCATCTTCACGCGATCCTTAGCATCGAAAACTCTCCAGGGCATCTTCAATCGACCGAGCATCTCCGCATTGTAGAAATCCACTTGTCTGTTGGTTGGCGCTAGGATAGCGCGTTTGAGACAAACTGTAGGGTCACCGAGCGCAGCCTCCGGATAGACGAAGTCTATCAATTCCTCCCATTCATGCACCTTATCGAGCATGTCGAGCGATACCATTGGGCCAGCTCCATCTCCAATGGAATCCACAAATTCAGCAAATTCAGGATCTTCGGCGTTCCGGATGGGTTGTGTGAGGGGGTATATAATGAACTTCGGCCACAAAAGTGATGATTTTATTGATGCCTCAATAGCAGCTCGCCGACCGGCAGAGGGAACCACTGGACATGTCTGGCGGAAATCACCAAGAAGAATTACGACTTTTCCCCCAAAGGGCTGATCGTTCCGCATGACGCGCCGGCAGGTTTCTTCGACACATTCCAACACGGCACGATTTGCCGTTGGCGCCTCATCCCATATGATAGCAGCAGCTTGAGAGATTAGTTCTCCTCGATCGTCTTCTGGCTCAATTGGGGCGTCCAACTTTAAAACTTTGTGGTCAGCAATGGGGACCTGCGCAGCGATGACTTCGTAAATGCCAAGGGTATGCGGAGGCTGACGTGTAACATACCTTGAATGTAGAATGCGTTGTTCTCCCACCTGGGTATAGTTGAGCAGCGAAAGCAGAAGTAGCGGTAGGGAGGACGATGTGTCCTTCAGATCGCAATTTATTACAGATCGTATTAACGAGAAACGTTTTCCCTCGTCCCGCTCTGCCATCAATGTAGGCGCACAACGGACGGTTGTGCTCAACTGCGCCTAGGATCTCATGGTAGGCCTTGTACTGTTCTTCATTGAGCTTCGCCGCCGCCATAATAGCTGTCACGTCAAGGAGCTGATATCTCGACCAGAAGGCACGCTCTTCTTTAACCTCCTTCCTATAATACGTCGGTTCAGGTAATCCGTAAAGAATTGGCATTGGAACTGACCGGGATTCTGGTAAGGCAGACATCGCTTGCATAGAGTGATAGCAACGCCGCGGTCTGGCTTTGATACGGGGCCTCTTGGATTTGGCTATGTGGCGCCCCACATCAATGATCAACGGTGCGCATAGAATAGCCAATAAACTCACAGATCTGGAGTAGACTCCGGTGAGCAGGAGAAATACACGAACTGCATGAAGCAATGTGGCCCATTGATGCCCTGAAAATCAGACTGTAAGGAGAGATTCGTGGAGATGGCCCCGCAGGCGTTTCCGGCTGATGGTATCAAGACAATTTGCTGCTGTTACGCGTGCCGATAGCAGTGAGGGAAAAAACAATCTCCAGACGAGGAAAGCAGAGGACAGCAGAGAATATGAACTGAGCAGTACGAAGTGGAGGTGAATTTTGATCGTGATCCGTGGGGCCTGAGACAATGTACAGGACGCGTTGCTTCGCGTAAGCGCTTGTGACCAGTGACAGGGTGCAAGCGCTCGACGAGGCCACAATGATGAAGTAAAGCTTTTCTCAAGACATTTGCCCAGTAAATGATTGTTTCTCCTAGCTAATTTCATCAAAATACTCGAAGTGTACGCGTGCAAGATGTCTGGAATGTAACTGATGAAAACTTGTTCATGCACAAATTGGTCTATATATGCACCGTCACGACTGGGGTCACGATCACGTGCATCGTGCATCTATGACGCGACTTCCGCCACTCCGCCGTTGCCGAGAAGCTTGAGCCTGAAGTACGCCGCGCCCTGTCGCTACTTTTGCATCCTGCTCATCATGGCCACCAACGGCGAACGCGAGCCTCTTCTCAGTGGTCCCCCTGGAGAGACCAATCTTGCTCGTGATACCGACCTTGGAGACACAGCAGCGAGGGATGCAGCAAGAAGGCGTGCAGCTGTTGTCCGTGCAACAGTTTATGGCGTCCTCACGCTTGGTTTCGTGGGCATGGTGCTCGGCATGCTCCTCTTGTGGGACAAGATCGGCTCTCTGCCCAAGGATCCGGACCACGCCGCACACAGATTACTGGAGTCGGCACCCGTTATCGTGAGTGGTATGGTCCACACATTCCTTCATTTGCTGAGTCATGCTTCATAGGATGGACACATCGGTGAGTGGCTGCACATGTACTTCCTCAAGGGCTGGATCTTCACGATTCTATGTGCAGATCTCCCCGAGTTTGCTCGCTCCGTCTATGGTAATAATATCTCAGCGTTCGACCTCCACCAACCGACACTCGGACATGTCGACATCCCTCGTCTCAGAGAGGGGCAGGTAGGTGGGTTCTTCTGGTACGTATTTTTCCCCTTCTGCCAGGACCTGTTAATGGTGGACTGCTGGCAGGTCAGTCTATGCTGCGTGTCCTGCGCACGCTGGCTTGGATGATGGGGAAGATTTTCTCAACGCCACATGGCGTGTACGGTATGTTTTACATGGATATGCAAGAGTTCGACCTGACATTCGCTACCAGAGACACTCTCGAACAGATTGATGTAGCGAAACTGCTGATCAATCGATATTCCGACGTGCGTGCATGGTTATCATCTGTTGATCGAAGTGGTGCCGACATTATCCTCTCTAGACGTTCGAACTGTCCTTAACCTCCATAGATGTGAAGAATGCCATCAGACGAGGCAAAATTGCCGGCATGCTCGGTGTAGAGGGGTATGCAAATCATCGAGTGCTCTTTTGCGCTCTCTGCTGAATAATCCCTCAGTGCGCACCAACTTGGCAACTCACTCGCAGTCCTGCGACAGTATTACGAGCTGGGTGTCCGCTATGTTACTCTGACGCACATGTGCAATAATGCCTTTGCGGACTCGGGCGGATACCTGCAGTCGCTAGAGCCGAAGTGGGGCGGCTTGAGTCCGCTCGGATATGCGCTCGTCGAGGAGATGAACCGACTGGGTATGCTTGTCGATCTCAGCCACACATCTGACGATACGGCCAGACAAGCGCTCAAGCACACTAAGGTTCGCTGAAGGACTTGATATTCAGAGGACGTCCGCTAAGAAAGTTTGTTGCGCAGGCTCCTGTGATATGGTCCCACTCGTCGTCTCGTGCTGTCTATGATGTTGCGAGAAACGTGCCTGATGACGTCCTAGAGATGATTGGAATGTCAGAAGACAAGGTCGATGCGGTCGTCATGGTAGGTGGCAACGTGAACTAAACCCGTGCTTGTCTCACAAGACCTCCTGCTACACTAGGTCAACTTCGCACCTCAGTTCGTCGCTAAAGATGGAGAGGCGGACGTCGGTGCCGTTGCTGACCACGTTGAGCACATCGCCAATATCTCCGGCAAGGCTCAGTATGTGGATCCGCCTTTCGTGAATATTGGATAGCTAACTCGTGCCCATCAGTGTGGGTCTCGGTAGTGACTACGATGGTATCTCTACCGTCCCCGTCGGACTTGAAGATGTGTCGAAATATCCTGCTCTGGTAGGTCCATTATCTTCTGCATAGCGTGTTCACGCAGCATAACGCTGAACGGCATCCAGGTTGCCGAGCTCTACAGGCGTGGATGGAACCGTTTTGACCTTGCAGGGCTCACTGGCCAGAACCTGCTACGCGTGATGGCAAACGTGGAGCGGGTCGCGGCAGACCTTCAGGCGGACGGCGCGCAGCCATCCATGGAGATCTATGAAAAGAGGACGGACTTGCCGAGGCACCCCTCTGAGCTATGACCCCACTCTTTCGTCTCAAAAGGCGAGCGACCATTGATTGTGTAAGTTTGCGCTGTGGATACAGCTGAGTGTATTTGAATATGTTACGATGTATATATGCCGATTCGTGATATAATTGATGTGATGCAGGAGATGCTTCCTCTATCGTGATGCCCGTATGTGAGGCGGAATGGCTTGCACGAGACGTCAAGACGTCAGCACACCTATTAGTAGGCCGTAATTCGACACAGATGCCTAACGTTCTCCACGTGTCTGCCGAGCATGTCACAGACAGAGACGCACCGAGCCATATGCGAATACAGGCGCCTGGCGGACTACTGTACGCCGCATGGCCGCGACCGACCACTCGCCGTCAAGAAGAGCGCGCCCGATTTGTTATCGTTTGTACGATGTACGAGCAATGCGCTTTTAAAGCATAGGTATATCTTAATTTGAACGCGATAGACAATTATCAGAGTACCGTCAAACGCATCCGTCGCCAGAGTACCGTCAAACGCATCCGTCGCCAAGATGCTCACCTGTAAACAACAGGCTTATTCTGAGCAGATAAACACAGTACTAGTCGATCATCTGTGATAAGACAGAATTGCCACGCGCGTACCTCTTCCGAGAATCTGATGATCTCCCTCTTCTCCAACACGGCAATACATCGTCCAGCACTTGAAAAGACGGATAATCTCTTTGACGTGATAATTGTGGACGACTGGAGAAAGGAGAGTTTTGGCAGCGATTCCAATATACGAACCACGGCCTCGAGTTGACTGTGGAAACGTCAGTGACAACTACAACCACTGAACGAACCGTATTGTGACCGGAACTGACATATTTACGGGGTAGTCATCCTGTGTAGCGAGCAAGATGGCGGCCTCGGCGAGTTCGATGGGGAGAGATCATCATTGCGGAACCTGCCACAGGTCC